CTGAACAGATATCTATTTATTTATCTATCAAATATATAAGCCACTCAACTCAAAAAACATCTCTGGGCAATTTTACAATAATAAAAGGCAAAAAATAAAAGAAAAAACAATATCTTATAGGAAAAGAACATACAATAGTTGTCCCAATGAAACAGATTTTTTTAAAAAACCAATTTCTTATCACTAGCCCTAGAAGCAGGTTGAATGAGGGAGCATATAATTCCCCAGGGACATTCTGTTCCAGAGGACAGGTGCTGCAACAGGTAAGATCCACTTCCTAGATACCATTACATGGCACTGCCTGATTGATGGGATCCAAAACTATTGACTGCCTGATCACACAGGACAAGCAGCTACTACAGGAAATATATTGTCCCTCAGAGAGCTAGACCCTTTGTCACACAGGGCTTTATAAATAACAAGGAGCACTTAAATTATATTTAGCTTGTTAGTGACCAGTGTGAAGATGTTATATAGTGAGGCCTGCTCCTGTGACTGCATTTTATAGTCTTCAAGTGTAGAATGCATGCAACAGTCCACCCATAAAGCAATGAAGACATGGGTGACTAAAAAGATATGCACACCCAAGACAGAAAAACAAACAAACCTGGTTACAGAAATTGATGAGAATAACACCTGACAAGGTCTGAGACTATAACAAGCAAATACTTTAGTAACATTAACTGGGCAATTACGAGTAACACTGCTTCTAACTAATGTATATACATAAATATTATGTCAAATAAATCCATAACTTAAAATGATTGCCTATTTTAGGCTGCCCTGTTATTACATATCAAATTGCAGTGTTAAAATATTAACAGTTACAATTTAGTCAGTGTGAACTCAGCCTAAAAATTGGAGCAGTAATTTATACCAGGATGTGGAAATTATTCGTTACCTCTCTCTCTCTCTCTCTGTGTGTGTGTGTGTGTATGTCTAGAATATAGTAACAAATTAATCTTTCCCAGACCCATATTTACAGCAAAGAATAGTAGATTCCAGGCCTGTTCCTAGAACATTTATTTAGGAGGTCCTGAATCAGAAGGAGTAGCAATAGAGTGTGTCCATTTTAGTGCTTTTGATACTTTTAACACTTCTGCTTGTCCAGAAAAATGTCCACTACAAGAATAAAAATCCTTTAAGTATGATCTTCTGAAACTTAGCTCTCTACTCATAGTAAGGCCTTAGCTCAGATATGAGACCAGATCCCAAATTCAGCTTGAGATCTGCAAACTGCTCTGGCTTTGGGTCTTTTCATGTTTCAAGCATAAGCAAATAAATACAATATCCCACTAATACTATTCACGCTCTTTCTCTCTCTTTTAGAAATGAACATTACTTCATATTTCAAAAGGCAACTTTTAAGGTGTCTCCTTCTCTGTGTTAAGGGAGGAGATAAACATATATTGGCTTATTGATTATGCAAAATCAGTTTAGTATGACTAACATAAAAATAATCAAGAGATTTGAAAATTCAAAACAGATATACGTTTTGGCATCAAACATATTATACCATGTCCTAAAATGGACACTTCCTGACACAAATGCCCAGGGATAAAAAACTCAGCTTTAAATGTCTTCTGAAAGGATAGCAGGAGCAGGGCCAAATCTTGAGCAGTGGAGAGATCATTCCAAAGGGCAGATAAAGTCTATGACTATAGAAAAGCCTATGGTTTGACATTGGTATATAGACTGGGCTTAGAGGGAAGTATGTGTGGAAAAGTATGTGGAATAAGAGGTCTAATGGGAGACAGACAATCCTACAAATAACTTGGCCCTGTAGGAGTTTATGGGTGACAACCAGCACATTGAATTGCATATGGGAGTCATTACAAAGCAATGGTGCTATAGAGATATATTGTAATAATCCCAGTTACCTATGCTGCTGCATCCTTCAGCATGAATTTTCTCATCTAGTATAATGACCTAATTCAAGGATAGGGTATCTGGAAAAAGTGGCAAGTTAGAACGGTCACATTTTTCTTCTAGCAGAGAGTCAAGAATGTGTAAGCATATATCTATAACCCATAAACCTATTGAGCCAAAATTCTTATTTTGAATGGGAAGAAAATGGGTATAGCATCAGAACTGACTTTACTTGGCATTGGTCACTTTTTCCTCTCCCTGAATCTCAATGGACTCCACAGTCACTTTAAATGCTGCTGTAATTCCTACTCCCTACGCCCAAGATTTTCCCTTTCCCCCCAGATCCCAATTAGCAATCACAGTCAGATTCAATGTAGCTTTAGATCACTTGCTCACTCTTTCTCGTGGTGATTCCGTGGCAAGGTGTAGCAATTATTGTTGTTTGTGTCCTGTTGGGCTGAAAGTAATTGAATAGTTCCTTCTGGTCACTGCATCGGATTAATAAGGATGAAAAAATCAGCTGCTATTAATGATAGAATGATAGCATCTCTAGATGGCGGACTAGCCCTAGTAAGTGGTGGGCTTTTTGCAGGGGTGGGATTCAAATTTTTAACCAGTTCTGTGGGCGTGGCTTAGGCAGTGGGCATGGCTTGGTGGTGATGTGACTGGATCGACATGACTTGGTGGTCATGTCATTGGCTGGGTGTGGTCAACTCAATATCGCTCACATTGAGGCACTCATCTCCTTGCCTGGCCTCTCGTGAGTGTGGGGATGCTGCAATAGTCATAAGTGTGAAAAATGGTCATAAGTCACTTTTTTCAGTACCATTGTAACTTTGAATGGTCACCACACAAGCAAAGTACCAGCAAAGGAGGGGAAAAAACTCCAGAGAAGTTCCAGAGACAGGAAGTCTAGACCTGCCAAGAATGTAATAAGAGTTAACAGAGAGGCAGCTTATGTAAGCAACATCAGAATGTTTCCTTCCTGCCTTCCTTACAGGATTAGGCCAGGAATTTCTTCTAACAACCGGTTCTCTGAACTGCTTAGAATGTTAACAACTGGTTCTAGAGAATAGGTACGGACCTGTAGAATCCCACCCTTGGCTTTTTGCCAGGATCTTGATCTTAACAAGTAACAGATATAGGACTGAATTCCATCAACTTTGAAACAATATATTGTATCATAAATATTAAAAATGTGGGAACTTTGCAATTTTCTCTAACTCCTGAATGGTCTAAGCATGCAGCCCCTAATTATTCATCAGAAAGTTGTCTGAAATCAGTAAGACTCCCTGAAGCTGCCATTCTGATTTCCTGAATGCTCTGCTGGCAAACTGCCTATTCAGCTTTAATTGGTTTCACAACAAATTTTAGTTTTTAAAAGTGAGTGCATAGTTTTAAGTCCAAGACTGGAATTTACTTTAGACTTTTCACTTTATCTTCTTTCTACCCTCTGTTTAGGCCTCTCTTCTGAGAGTCATAAAATAGAACAGCATGTCCACTCCACCATTACAGGACAGCGTAATGTGGCACTTGGTTACATTTTTACTGAATTGCACACTAGAGATATGAAATCAAAGCAGAACAAGTACTTTTAAAATGACAAATCTTTATTTTGCAGCAGTTATATACCTACATTCCTACATGACCGTTCCCCACCACTCTAACAGTTTGTAGGCTGTAATGTAGTTTAGGAAGCAGGAAAGTATCCTAAATAATTGCCTTTACAAGATCACTATTGTTCCCTGAGGTAATTAAGGGAGTTACCTGTTGGTCTAGAGCATTAGATTACAACCTGAAGCCATTTTGGAATCACCCTTCAAAACTCTCATTTTGTTCACTTGTTTAGATAAAAGAGCACCAGTTTTGCGGGATTTCCTTCCGAACTTTATTGCCTGTTTGAAAACAGATTAGGAAACTGAAAGCCAACGCCCTAAAAGGAGAACACCATTCTGATTTCCCATCGGCAAGTTCACTCTGGCCGCCTGAATTTCATAGTGGGCACCGTTCTCTGACCTTTTTAGAGAACTGGGGGAGGGGGCACATTTTGAATTCCCGAAGCATTTGCTTGGCATCCGAGAGAAAAAAATGGGGGAGACTATCCTACAGGTGACGATCTAGTCGTGCCCATTCCGCAGTCTGCAGGTCTTGGCTTCGAGGCCCAGCTCAGCTCCCACTGGAAACAACCAGGAACCAGGCGAGGCGGAGTTACCCGCAGCTTCGATCGTGCACATCCAACACCCTTCGCCTCTTTGCGTGTCCCGCACGGCCGCACTGACACTGCGCCAGCCGGCAGCTTTACAGGCAACTCCTTCCGCACCGCCGCCACCCCTGCAGCAGCTTCTTAACCTCCCCGCCTCTGCCGCCGGCGCCCTCCAAGCGACGTCCGTCCGGCCTGCTTGGCTCGGCACGACGCCTCCTCAAACAGATCCCCCGGTGCACGGTGAAGTCGGCCTGGGGCTGATCGGCAGCGAGGGGTCCAAGAGCTAGCGCACGCCATCCTTGCCTCCACACCTAGCAACAGCTCTGACAGGACGCAGCAGCAGCAGTAGCAGCCACCACCGCCGCCGCCGCTACAGCGGGAGGAGGAGGAGGAAGCGGAATGGCCGCCTCGGCGGCGGCTTGCTCCCTCCCCACAGTCCTGACAGCCAGAGCCGGGGCGGAAGCAGCAGGCGGCGTGCTGGACTCGTCCTCCACCTCCTCCGGGTCTCGGCGCTCTACCGCTGCCAATGCAAACTCAGTCGTCTTTGCGGTTGCATGCGCCTTGCAGCCAGCCACCCGGCCATTTACCTCCGGCAGCTACTCGCCGCCGCCGCCGCCTCCCCTCATCCTCCCCACCCTCCAACACACCCACCCGCCCTCGTGCCTGCCTGACTGCCATCCAAACCCGGCACCCCCTTCCCCATCAAGCCTCTACCCTCATTCATCCCACGCTCGATCCCGGCTGCAATTCAGCCCGCTCCCTCGACCCCACGCCCCTCCTTTCCCGCTCCATGCTGCTGCCGCCCAATCCTCCGCCCTAGCGCGGCTTAAGAGGGGGAATCTCTTTCCACAACCACCATCACCGCCCCGCGCCGGGTCCCCCGCCCCCCCCCCCCATGCCCACGCGTCACCCGGCTGCACCGGCTCACCGATATGGTTGTCTTCGATGTGCTCGATGAGCTCCACCAGGGTAGGGAAGTGAAGTCCGCAGCCCCCGAAGCGGCAGGTATTGGAGAAGAAGGAGGCGGCGGCGATGCCTGTCATGGTGTTGCATGGAGATTCCTCCCGCCTCCGCCTTGCGGTGCCTACTCTGCCAGGGCCGCCGGCGGGAACGGGAAAGCCAGCGAGGGGAGATGGAGATCGAGCGGTCGAGAGAGGCTGGGGGTTGGGAGGAAGAAGAGTAGGAGGTGGCGGCTGCAGCGTCGGGAGCGGCGGAGGGGAGGGACGGGCTGCTGGGTGGGGGGAGATGAGGCAGGCGCAGCTGGGAGGAGGGATCATTGCCGCACTCAAACAGCTGGGCAACCCCAGCCGTCGCCGCTTGCCTCCGCTGCAGGAGCCTAAGACCCGGGCCACGTTGGGCAGCAACTGCTCTCGGCGACGAGCGGCCAGGAGTTTTATGAGCTGGGCGGCAGCGTGGGCGCGGAGGGGAGGGGAACACAACAGTTGGGGGTGTGTCTGAGCCTATTCCTCAGTAACTTCTTAAGTTTTTTTCCCTTTTCCATACGCTACAGAAAGATATCTGCAGGAAGGAGCCCAGCGTCCCTCTTCAAAAATGAAAGTTAAATAGCTGGAGCTCGGATTGAGACTCAACACAGTCAGATCCTGGGTTCCAGTGCTGAGGCCTGCTTGGAGGGCACAGCACTTGTTTCCCCTCCCCCATATTTATCACCAGACTCTACATATAGAATATTTAGGATATAAAGTTATTAAAGTAGTTTTCCGGAAGGGGAAAAAAAGATTGTTACAGTTTTACCCTATCCAACTTTGCAGCATTTATGTTTCAAACCTTCCAGCTTTGGGGGAAGAATTTATATAAGTGATAACATTAAATTTAACAGCTTTGACATTTGAATCAAGTGTCAAACAAGAGACAGGTTTTTAGTGCCCGAATTGTCAGTATGCCTGACCAGTCTCCTATTTCAAACAGCATAGATTCATATTCTTCATGTACTCACTGCATTTTACAATTGACATTTTACAACCTGCTTTTTGTTAGTGGACAAAAAAGATCATAAGATGTTTATCTCTACTAGTTAAACAGCATTTTACAATCTATTTGTACTTAAGTCCACACATAACACTAAAAGTGTGGTTTGGATTTAGTTTAGCTGACTGAAATTAATTATGGTTTGTAAATTGGTTTGTAAATTAGGATTGGGATTTATGTGTTGTAAGAATTTACCAGGTCTTCAACTCAAGAAGGTTTTTTTAAATTATTATTAGTAGTATTTTAAAAACAATTTTAAATGGTACATTGCAGATCCATATGTAGTGTCGCCATCTGTAAAGTAGCATAACATACATATTGTGTATTTTATGTACTATTGTACCATACAGTATGTACTAATGGCACTTTATTGATTTGGGCTTGTCCAGTGTTGCAATTTGATTCAGCTATAACAGAGGTCTCCAAACGTGGCAACTTTAAGACTTGTCCACAAATCTTAAAGTTGCTAAGTTTGGGGACCCCTGAGCTATAATATGGTAATACTGACAATGCGAGACTTTAGATTATAGGTTTAATAAATAAAAATCATGGTTCTATGATTTGTTTGCATGGTAATATCCTACATTTTCTTCAGATGTTCAAACCAACACATTGTATATAGCTTCTCTCTGAGTTTTTCCAGTCCCAATTCTATGGAAGGAAGTTGGGCTAAGAAAGAATGACTGGCTTGGCGTAATTCATTAGACTTCCAAGGCTGAAGGTAGACATACATCTGAATCTCCCAAGTTTAGGCCAATACCTTATCTTAGATTCTGAAGTAGACAGATAGAAAATGAATATTTTTTAAACCATTCGCAGAATAACTTTAGTATATTTTAACCTTCAAAAGTCAGATAACTTTATTCAGTGTCACTTGACATCTGTGATCTGATTCCAAGATATCCCAATATACAGAAATCCTAATGGAAGTTTATTAGGCCATGTGAAAAGAGTGTTTTAGTGACAGGGCATGTGAAAATAAAAAGCAAAAGAAAATGGTCCTTTTATATTCCCAACTATTTGAGTCACCAAATCTTCAGAAAAAATTTCAACCCAACTGAAAACTTTGTTTTCAGGTTAGCCAACCTCAAAACTTTGAGCTCTATGGTTTAACTTGAAAATTCTTCAGAGCAATTCTTTCCAAATTAAATCAGTTCAGCTGTCCAACAAGATAAACAGCATGAGATCACAGAATTCATAACCGAATCAGAAGCCATCCAAATGTCAAGTGTGGAAAGGCTCTATGTGAATCTTCTGTGATCAGGGGAGATTCAGGAAATAAGGCAAATTAGAGCTCATTGTTCAAAGAAAATGAAAGCCAGTCCAAAACTTTTCTTTGGACAAGAGAAACATATAGTAATCTTGAATCAAGATTTTGTAAAATACACTCAACTATTTTGTGAATCCAATTCACTATTATTGACCTTTAGGTGCAGTATGATAAATGTTTCTGTTCGATTGTGATGGGGATGGACATCTTCTCTCCTCCAGGCTGAAAAATGTCCAGGACTGAATCTGTTTCCAAAATGCAAAACTTCTGATGATACTTCAGTGTATAAATTGTGGGTTAACTAGCACATCCTAAAAGTTGAGTTTAAAGGCTGGTGGAGCTACTATGACTGTTGTACACATTTTAAAGTGATTCCATAATAATATGTGTACTAGTATATAAATGTTTCAAGGACATTTTTAATTTACTAAAATATGTATGACCCAAGCAACCTTCAGACAGTAATGGCTCATATTAACACATGATTTGGAGTGTTTTAGCAGTCCTAAGAAGTCTGCATACCCATTTGCAGTCTGATTCAGGTGACCCTGAGAATCAGATAAACCTCCAAGTGGCCTCAACAATTCTCAGAGAGCTAATGACCTGGCCTTCAGAGTGCTAAGGGCCAGATGACTGATAAGAAATATAAATCCTTCCAGAAGGATTTTTTGTGGGAGGGACCGTTCTCAGGGTTATTATAGATTTCTGTTAGGGGATGCTTTTCTTTTTAAAAGCTACTGACGCTAACGGTGAAATGTGCCTAGATCTGACTGATAAATACATGAATAAAATGTTTATATGATTAAGGCTATCAGTAGATTAATTTTGCATTCTTCATTGTCTAGTGTCAGAGACAGTTCTCACAGAAAATAAGTAAATCAGTAATTATGGATTTTGACAATAGCTCATTTTGCATCATATGACTGATTTGCATTTAGACCACAATTTCTAATCTTCTCTCAATTGTGCAAAAAGGAACTTCTTTGGTTTGGGTTTAGCAGGTTTATGAATTCACCTGCATGATTTTGAATTTCCTAGTTTATGAAATGCGTGTGACATTAACCCTATCAATTGCTTCAGTTTGGTGTAAAAATATAATGGTTATTTTGAGAGCAGAAAAGGCCAATAAAGATATAGTACAAACAGATATTTTGAAGACTTCATTTGCTTTTTCAGGGAACTAGTCATATAATGATTCCATCTTGACATAAATGCACTCTAGTCATATTATTTTGAAAATGAGATATTAATAGCAATATTAAAATCAATATTTACTTAGTACTCATCCATTTACTTTGATTGTCATATTGTCATTTTGCTAGGCGATTTGCACACCAAGGTGAGCAGGAAAGGCAGGATCAGATTAAAGATACAAAACTAATAAAATACTCATCAACTATGTTAAAATGCCCGCACTTGCTTAAGTACCTATATTAACATTTTTTTATATTGGAGAACAAATCACTATAGAATTAAATTGCTAATTTAATATGTAATTCCCCCCCCTTTACAGGAGAGTCATGAAAATATTTTTTTCTTAAAGAATACTTGCTTTCTAACAACACCTGTGCTAAAATTATTCTGCCTGTCCTGTACAAATACTGTACAAATACTGTACAAGGCAGATAGATAAACTCCACAAAGCATCCATACAAAGTATTTTTATTGGTTCATCAGGCATCCTGAAAACTCACATTTATGATGAGGTTCTTCTTAATGTCCAATCCTTTGCATATCTGAATTGTGGTATAGGAAGATAATAAGGTCTCAACCCCATGATGATTGAAGCAGCCGCATGGTAATGGCTTCAGGCAAGAGTGAGGGAGCCTCTCCCAACCCACCAAGGGTCAATTTAGTGACCAATCAGGATTACAGATGTGACCACATGACATGGACTACATTTCCCAGGATACCTTAACTACATTTACCATGATGCATTCCCCTAAGGCAGGGGTGGGCAAACTATGGCCCGGGGGCCACATCCGGCCCGTTGGTCTTTTTAATCTGGCCCGCCGAAGATTGGTACAGAATTAAGGTTTGATGTGAATGATTGAATGATTGCATTCATATGATTTTGACTTGTAATGAAAGGCATTTCAACACCAGGTGGCGGCCCATCTGTCAAATTTTAAAAGTCAATGAGGCCCCCCGAGCCAAAAAGTTTGCCCACCCCTGCCCTAAGGGGACAGCTCTCAAATCCTAACTAACTATCCCAAATCCCATTAACTCAACTGTTTGAACAGCACAAAAATAGTTTTTAAAAAGTTTATAGATGCTTAATATAGGGAAAACTATAAGCAACGTATTATTATAGTGCCTCTAAACAGTTACTACTATAAAGTTGAGGAATATATTACTGTTCCAAATTTTTGAGGTAGACTGTTTTATAGCAATAGCACTTAGACTTATATATTACTTTATAATGCTTTATAGCCCCCTCTAAGCAGTTTACAGAATCAGCATATTTCCCCCACAATTTGGCTCCTTATTTTACCCATCTCGGAAGGATGGAAGGTTGAATCAACCTTGAGCCTGTTGGGATTCGATCTGCCAAACTGCAGTAGGAGTAGCTTGCAGTACTGCACTCTAACCACTGCACCACCGAGACTCTTTTTCTTCAATTAGAGAAACTTTTTCAACTAACCTGCCCCCTCCCCTCCCCCCAGAAAGGCACGTTTGGGGGAGATATAGTGAAAGACTGGAAATATATACATGTTTTTAAATAATATATGAAATATTATATTGCCAACAGTGCAATAGTATCTTAAAAATATTTGGATAGGTTATCATAAACACCCATTTTAAAAATATATATAATTATCATAGAACACAGTTTCTTGTCAGAAATAACAGTCTGCAGCACTATTATCAAGACTATTATACTTTCAACTTTGTGAATTAGAATATGCCATCTAAATCTATTAAGCTTTAA